AGACACTTGAAAAAAATAGGAGGAGCACTTGAAATGTAGGTCGGATTTAATGAAAAATTATGGAAACCCTTAGCTAATTCTTAAGGCACAAGCAGAGGTAGATAATAAAGGTTTAAGCAGGGATTATCTTAATAATTGGATTGGTTTTTTTAAAGGGAATTATACATTAAACTCTTATTTTCCAATTTTGCAAATTTTTCAGTCTTTTCTCCAGATTTTGTAGCATACTTTTCAGGAACTAGGAGGCTGCATATAATTTCAAAACAATATTAACTTATTTTGTATTATTAATTATTAGGAATCTTTATTATGAGTTACTTATTGATTATTTAAAAGCAAATATACGAGTTAAGACCATTCTAAGGTATTTTAATGTTATTCAGAAGCTTAAAACACATCAAAAAAATAATTTCCGGCCCCATAAATTATATATATTCTTGATCACTATCAATAGCCAAATCGATCTGGCCATCTTAGAGAGAAAAAAAAATTATAAATTTTTCAGCATTTTTTATCATTAAAATTGTCAAAAAAAAATTGTCAAAAATTTTAATTTTTTTACATTTTATATTAAGTATGCAGATTTATTAACCTAATAAAAACTAACATTGGACTGCTTTCCGAACTGAAATTAAAGATTTTTTGGCTTAGTTATGAGTTTTTTAAAGTTTGATTTGTTCCAATAATTGTCATATAAAAATATTGATAAAATATTGGTTCAAAGAATGCAAATATTTTAAGCTTATTTAGGAATTGATAATTTAATTAAATTGAAAACTTCAAGGGATTATAAAGTTAAGCTTCCCGAAGATAATTCCCTTCCTTTTTATATTTAAGTTAAGGAATTCAAAAAGTAAAAAAGAACCTTTAGTATTTATAATATTATTATTATACTAAAAATATCTAGTTTTATTTAAAAAAAAAATTTTACAATTGATTTCAAGACTTTCTAATATATCCAGATTCTAGGAAAGAATTTTACATTTTAAGATACTCAAATAAATGTTCTTTATTTTAAAAGTAAATTATTTCAAATGGAAGTTAAATATTTTCTTATATAGATTATATTTTAGATTTTGTAAAAGTTAATCTCTGCATAATATTTTCTTTATATTCTATACAATTTCCCTTTTACAGTGTTGCAACAAAACGCGCTTTAGACTCATTTAATATGCTTAATGACGTCATGTGTGCGCTGTTTTTAAGTAGCCTCCCACTTTTTGATAGTGTGTGTGTGTGTGTGTGTGTGTTAGCCACTCTTTTTGGCCAAGTGTGTGTGCGTGTGTAAGCCCCACCCTGCATGCGACAATTCTCAGTTGGCTCTTCTCGGTTATTGTCACTGCTGCTGCTGCTGTTGCTGCTGCCTTTAGCTTTTTTTGCCATTTCCTGGGTTTTTTTTTTAGTTTTTCGCCGTTGTTTTGTTTTAGGGGCACTCCTCACTTTTGTTGATTTCCAGCCTTCATTGTTGCGTTGGTCATTTGAAATGCAGATAGCCTTGGCCGGCCTCTCGCCCCCTGGCTCCATGCTGAATGCTCCGCCCGAAAATAGACTCGCTAAACTCTTAACAAAACTGCGAATAATAGTTTTGCTTGAATGGCGTTAGAGCCTTGGGAGAAATCTCACTAACTTGGCTAAGAGAAAGCGAGCCCTCTCCATGAGGCCCCAGAAAAAAAAGGAGCACCAAAAGGCAAATGGTCTTTATTATTTCTTTTCAACTTTGTTTGGTCTTATATATGACCTCGAAACGAAGCTGATTTGGCAGTTCTTTATAGGTTTCATTATTGTTTCTTTTTTTTTTTGTACAATATATTTTTTTACAAGTTAATAAAACAAAATGGTGCGGAAGTCTTTAACTGCTGAGTTTTTTACGTATTGTTTGCTAAGTGGTGAAGTTATGTAAATCGTTGTCTTTTTGTTTGAACTTTTCTAGTTCAAGATTTTATTTAAATTTATGAAGTAAATTCAAACTTAATACTTTGAAAACGTAAAATTAAAGGTTTAAAGGTTAATATATAGTATTATTTAGAATATTTTATAGGTATTTATATTTTTAAACAGCTCTATTAAACGTAATTTTACTTATATTTGTCTCTTTTGACCCTTTAATAGTTTTTACATCATTTTTAATATTTCTTTAAGATTTTCTCCATAAATATTTATAGATACATTTATTTCAAATGTTTCTTAACTTTTTTGACTTAAAATTGTTGCATTTCTACCTTTCATTTTAGTTAAAAGGTATTTAAAGGTACTGAAATATATTTGAAGACTTCCTAAAACCGTTTTGTATACTCATTAAACATCATTTGAAATTATCACTAACCAGACATTAAATGAGACATTGCTTCAAACCAATTTCTTATTCAAATCAGTTGATAACTGAAGCGTAATAAACATCTATTTACTAATCATTATTATTCCTATTCTCATTCCGATTTAACCGCCCTGATTAAGCTGCTTAAGATAATCTACTTTCATTTAAATTCCGATAACAACTGGAGCGTATTAAAATGAATTCATTATTCAAATTTTCTCCACATTTTCTCCGCCCCTGACTAACTTTTCTGATTAAGCCACCCAAGAGAGAGAAAGTCTGAGTCTACTTAAGAATTCCTTTTAAATGAACTCGTTTGCCAACTATTTTAACTTTCTTCCACCAAGAACCTTTTGACCAACACACAATAAAGGATGTTAGACTTAATGTCCTGTGTTAATTAAATGCCTACAGACGTTCCCTGGGAGAGGGGGGGGGGGGGAGTGCATACTGGCCAAGTTAGTTACTGACCTAAGACCTTTTGAAACGGTAAAGCTAATCTGCTGGTCATGTTGCCGTCTTGGCCTGCCATTTAAAGTCTTTTCGGCTGACACAATCTAATGTTGGTTTTGCATGTTCCTAGTACCCATTGTTAACATGTCTAAGTTGGCAGCTGATTTTGGCCCAAAGAATATACTATATGGCCCAGAGTTTTCTGTTTTTTCATATTTGGGTTTTGTTTAATTTAGTTTCGTTGTGTTATTTAAATATTTAGACACTCACACACAAACACTTAATATATTTCCACACACCACTCCTTTTTTTTGTGTTGGGGAGCAACTCCACTCCCCTGAAAGGTTTTTGTTTGTATATTTTTTGTACTTTTATTAGATTCGGTTTTTTGTGTTTCTTTTTGTTTTTCCTTATTTTGTTATAGAGGAACTTCTCTGGCCGAAACCGAAACGAAGTCACACACAACTGTTTTGTGAAAGGAGCGAACAAATTCTGGAGAAGGACGTCCGTTCGGGAACAGCTTGAGCAACAAACTGTTGGCCAAAAGGATATATTTTTTTTTCGTCTGGTTTTTGGAGTCGGCCAAAGCTCGTGGCGGAGCTCGTGTTTGGGGCACGCTGTTGCTATTGGCAGTGAAAGCTTTTCCCTTCCGCATCTCATTTTCCTCCTCGTTTGGGTGTTTTTCATGTGCCGCACAGGACACGTGCGGAGCTTTTTAGCACGTGAGCCGTGTGTGTTTGATGTGCCTGGACTGGCCCCTAACTGTGGCCATGTGGCATGGCATTTTCCCCAAAAAAAAAAAGAGAAATACCTTTCTCAACAAGTGGAAAGCTTTCAATTTTGCTATTAATTAGCGCCTGGGTCTACTAATTGAATTTCCATGGCCAAGACAAGCTTTGGCAGTTGCATTTTTCACTCTTCTCCTTATGGTTTTTTTTGTTGCTATAGTCAACTTTTTGAAAAGTTTCAAATGCGCTCATTTTCAACCTGTTGACCAGTTTGGTGGGAGGGACTCAAGAGGAGTGGGTGGAGGAGGGTTTGTGGGTGGTTGTCTGAGCTTCGTCCTTACACAGGAGCAGCTGTAGCAGCGGAGACCTTGCCTTGCTCTTGAAAATGGCAACAAGCAAAGCACAGAAGTCGGTTGAAATATTTATGCATGTAAGGTCATCACAGCTATTTGGCTGCACTCCGCTCAGCTGGCACTAAAAATAAGTCCGTAAGTAGATATAAGTATAATTCGTATAATTCACACACACAGACACACAGACACCATATTTCGTAAGTTTCTGTCTGGCAAGGAGAAAGAAAATTCGTGCCTTAATACTTTGGCAAGGACATCATGGCACTAAGGCCTTTGTGAAGTGTCCGACACCAATGGAAAGTTGGTAATTGAAAAATAATTGCAATAATTGCATTGTGGTAATATTTTTGCAAAGTTTCTCAAGAGCCAAAAGTTATGATAAATGGCCCAAATGAAAATACTATGCAAGTTAGAAGGCAGGAGAGTTTTGTATATATAATTAACATAGATAAAGTTACCTAAAAAAATAAACAAAATAAGGTCTTAAAGAATATATATGTAAAGAAAAAGTATAAAAATTCGTTATTAAATTTCAAAATATAACGGCTAATATTCAAGGATTTTTGGTCAATAAAAAAGCAAGCTTTTTACAGCTTTTGGAAAATTGGTTGGAACAGTACCTTTAACTATTAACAAGTATTTACATTGTTAAATTAAGGTTCAGGACATTGCTTATGTTGTCCTAAAAGAGTTTAAAAAACGGCTAATTTTTAAGGTTTCTTAAGTAAATGAAAATATTTTAAAACCTATTCATGGACATAAACAATAAGATTATTCGAAATAATTTAATCTAATATACAATTATTTCAATCTAAAAATCAAACTGTTAATATAATTTAAACATCAAATTTACCCCGAATATTTACATGGCACTTAAGTATTTATAACAAAAATAGTTTAATGATGTATTTATTTAAGTATTTTTATAATTTTAATATAATCATTTAATGGTATTTTATTTCAATTAACGACCGGCTTGGAGCAATAATTTTGAATGTATAAAGGGCGCCAAAGAGCTATAAACCAGTGCAATGGGTTTGAAACCATGCTAAGCAATCGATAGTACGATGTTTTTGCCGCCTCCGCTGTTATCGATGGCTTGTTAGCTATCGAGTACCTGTTCCGCTTGCTCGTCAGAAGGAAAAAATTTTCACCAATTGCGAACGTGTGTGCTGCTGCTGCGCGCGGAAAAAAAAACGTAAATCTCCGTATATATCAACAAAACAATTAGAAAAAACATAACTTGCAGTTTACCGGGACAACTATACAATATATTTTGATATTTTCATACCGTTTACGCGCTTGCTTTGTGAGTTATCTTCAATTGAAAATTGCAAAAAATCACAGCAACAAAAAATCAGTTTACGACGTTGCCAACGTTACGCACGCGTATAATTCGAAAAATACAATATAAAACAACTATTTGTGCGGATAATGTTAATAGACCTGAGTGAAAGTGCCAGGAAATTATACAAATAATACAAAATCGGTTGATTTTAAGCAATATTTTTGTGCAACTACCTGTTCTGCAGCAAATGCATATACACACATCCAACAACAACAACAAACCTTAGCGAGCATCTAACTGTTGCGCTCGGCCGGCTGCTCTTCGTGTCTCTCTCTCCTCCGCGTCTTCGTATGTCCGCGAGTGTTTTTCGCTAGTTTCGCGTGTGTTTCGTGTTTGTTTCGCGTTCGTTTCGCGTTTGTGTGCGGCTGTTGTTGTTGTGGCTTTTCGCCAAGTGCAATTATTCGTTTCTTTTGTTTTTTAAACAACTTAATGTCCCGCTAAACGGTTTTGGAAGCCGTCTCTGCGCGCCGCTGCTCCAATTGGATATACGCAAATATATTTTAACAGGTGCGTGGCCCCAAAAACTAACTGTTTTGACTAAAAGCGGCTGCTCGTTAGCAGAAATGCGAAATGGGAAAAACCATGACAAATAGAATGAGGTGGGGATAAGGAAGGAAGAGTTAATATGCAGAGTTTAGTTGAGTAAAAAGCAGGGATTTAAATTGAAATCTTGGAAATAGGAAACTGTCAGCATACTTAACAGCTATTTGTTTTTTATTTTTATAAAATATTATTTAATAAATCTATTAATAATAATAATTATTAGCCTTTAAAACATTAATTAAATTTTATTTAGTTTACATAATGCTAAACATTTTGCTATGGATATACCATGTTTTAAGACAAGAAAATATTAATTACACCAATTGCAATTTACCTAAATATATACTTTTACTATGCTTGATTATATTTTTTGTTTTTTTATTTTGCAAAATAAATTAAGAGACCACTAAAAAGGTTATCGGAACTTAAATATCCCTATTTCCCATTTTAATTGCATTTATGTACCTATAATTTAGGTAAATAAGAGACAAACAATTTATAGTTTCTCAGAATTTGAACAATAAATTGCAAGCCGGTTTTTTTCAATTAGAATTATTTATGAAGTCATCTTGTTAATGAATACTTCTCCTAACTAAACAATACTTATTTGTAGCTTTTAGCTTGTGGAAGTCTATTATATAAATTTAACGATGTTGTTTAGTATCAACTATAGTACTAGTATTATAATATGCATATTTATTTAATTTTTTAATATTTTTCTAGTGCGACAAGGGGGTTCCTATATTAATAATATTATTATTTATATAAAAGCACTTAAATCCCCAAACTCTGCTATAAATCTTCTCCCATAACTGTCACGCATTATTCTTAACAATATTGATTCTCAAATGCCATTCCAATATATCAAAAGACATTTGGGAATTTCCCGTACTTTTCTTTTTTCCTTTTTTTTCGAGCAATTAAGTAAACAACTTTGGCTCATTTCTTTATTTATTTAGTGTGCGTGTGTGTGTGGGACAGTTGTAACATTTTCCACGAATGCGAAAATTCGCAATTGTTTTATTTGTTGATTTTCGTACTCCCCCCCCCCCCGCGCCTTTCTGTGCTATTTTTTGTGTTATTGTTTTCGCCAGGTTCGTGCCAGTCAGAGACATCGTTGACTTTTTGTTTGGTTTATTTAGCTGTTCAGGCTTTTGTTTCTAGTCTCTTTTTATGGAGCTTGAGGAAGTTATGCCACCGATTAATTAATCGAAGTGCCACCAGGCAGTGTCAACTGCTTCCGGACCACCTGCCTTATCTTAATCCGTACAGGATGCAGCCAGGATATAGTCCTGCAAGTGGCTCATTTGGTATATCTCCTCGTGCTCCCTTAGTAATCTGAGATCCACTTGAGTGGGAAAATCGGCAGAGGCAGCTGTTTCCTCTTTTTTTTCTTTCGGATTGCATCATGCTGCACTTTGTAATTTGATATTTTTTTGCCCCCTAAGTGTATTTTGGCCTCTGTTTAACATGGCTTAGAGCCATTTCCCTCCCGCTCTAACGGTTCTCGCTACTTATTTGCACTTTTGAAAAGTCTGCAGAAAAAAAAGACAACAATGCTGGCCAGCAAACAAAAAAAATACAACCAAGAAAGAAATACATTTTGCTGCTGCTTGGAATATTTTGCCTTGGCACAGTTATGTGGTTTTGGTTATGCTTTTTTTGGCTCTTGTTTTTCTCCCTTTGTTTTGTTTTTTAATTTTTGTGCAATGCAGTTGGGGTTGTCTTAAGGGTTTCTCATATAATTTACATAAAACCCCTTTAAAATTACTTACCCCTAACAAGTTGTTGAAATATAATTCATATTTTAATTATTTTACAAAGAAACCTTAAACAAATTAATTATCTAAACAGTAAAACAGTAAATTTATGTATGCTTTTAATTTTGATTTATTAACTAATGCATAAAATATATACAATAATATTTCAAGCAGTCACAAATTTCACAAATATATAATTTCCTCAAATTCATTGCCACAAAATTCCCTTTCAAATTGACACAAAAACTAATTAAATTTTTAATTATTGTATTGAGAAGCCTTTTACAAAAAATAAGCTTTAAGCTGAATGCAATAAATGCAAAAAACCTAAACCTTAAGTATAATTAATTGCTTGAACTTCAATTCGACGTGTTTCAAGGTAAACAAGTTGAAATACAACAATTTCGTATATACATTTTTTTTTTAAGTTTTATTTCACATGGTTTTTTGTTTTGTTTAAAAACAAGGCAACGAGGAGAACTCGTGCCCTCTGCTTTTGTTGTTATTTTTAATTGTGTGCCAAAAGCTAAACAAGAATGAAAAAGAAAAGAAAAGAAAATGCAGAGAGCTTGTGAAAGAATTGAATTGTGTCAGAAACACTGTTTAAATTGGGGGGTGAGAAAAGCTGCGCCAAAAGGGTTGATTGAGTGGCTGATTGAAGAGGCAGATGACGTCGTCAATTGAAATTTAATTGGTTTCAACGGCAACCTGAAGAACTTGATCGACCTACAGACTGACTGACTGACTGAATTGAATGAATGAAGATGGAAATGGAAATGCATTCAAATGCCATTCAATCAAACTGGGTCAAATGCCGCCACTTCTTCCGCTTATTCCACCTGTGCCAACAGTTCAATGCACCGAAAAATAAGTAGAAGCCATCAAAAAGTGTGTTTTCTTTTAAGTTCTACTGCAAATGCACTGTTAAAAATACTTGGAAAGTACTAAAAATGTCTTATTAATTCATTACAAGTTAACCGAACCTATGAAATGGATTCATTAATAATTTCAATATGTTTTAATGCATTAAATGTTTTACTATAGGCTTAAATGACAGATTGAGCTTGAAATTTTGTTCTGATGAATATGATAAAAATCTAGAGACTGAAATAAATTTATAAGATTTTTTTTAATAAAACATATTTTAAGGATTTCACATACCAATTTTCAAATTTCCATTTTTCTTGTAACATTTTGTTATTTTATTATTTTATTCATTTATTCCTTGTGGGATACTTTTAAAACCTATATTTATTGCACTAGTTTAAAAGGATGTCTTATATATTTTTTATTCTAACAATTTTCTTCTATTACCTATTTTTTTACGTGTATAAAAAGTAAGGAAATGCTTCTGCCACATTCGGTTCTTTTACCTTTTTGAAGAGCCCGCATTTAGCCAAAGTAAATAATTGTGGTAAATGAAAGAAAACTGCATTGCAAACACACGAAAAGAATACAAATGTGAGGAGACAAGGGGAAAATGGTGGAGTGTGTGGGTGTGTATAGGGGGAGGTGGAGGGACTGCCACAACCTGAAACAGGTGTCGCATTTTATGACAGTCCGGGTCTCCCTGTGTTTTTTTGTATTTCTTTATTATTATTGTTCTGTCATGTGTTGCTGCCGCCATGCGGTTGTGTCTGTGTTTGTTTTGTTTTGTTTTTCATCTCTTTGTAGTTGTAGGTGCATCTTTTAGATACATATACAGATACAGATTATATGTCTGGTTTAGACTTCCGTATTTACGTTTTAATAAAGACATTAACTAGGGTTTTTTTTAGCTTTGCTTTATTGCAATTTTTAAGATACAGATGTGTTAGTTATTGAAGCATAAATACGAAAACGAATGAATCTTCTTTTCAGATCAATAAATATCAATCTTTCTTCTGCTCTCTCTTCGTTAACTCTTAGTAAATCTTTAGTTCCACAACTTATCTTCCTGTATGCCATATATAGAAGCATTTCTCATCCGTCAAATGCTTTTAGCTTGTTTCGCCACTTTATCCTGACCTGCCCCAGTCTTTCCTTTAGGATCTCGTAGACGCGTCTACAGAATCTCCATCCAATTCTTCAGTTTTTTCCTATACTATATAGTATATAGTACCCCGTTAAGTAGGGACCGGCACGCCCGCCTCATTATTCATTCAGCAAAGGCATTCACCAAACTCTTGACGTGGAATTTGTTGCTCTTTTGGTCTCCTCGTCTCCTCGTTGGCTTCCGCTTTCTCTTGGAGGGGCGCAAAGGAGAATTTTAAGCTGCCGAAGGGAAGGAGGAGCACAAATTAGCGGGAACTGCCAGCGAGGCATTCACCGAATCAGAAATAGAGTGTAAAGATATAGAAATATATATATATATAGGGGAGATTCTCCATAGGTGCCGACAGTTGAAGGCATAAAAATAAATTCCCAGATATAAAACAAAATATGTCAACAGAGGCGTAAATGAGATTTGTCTTTTAGTTGATTCAGATGTTAAGCAGACTAACTAATTGATTTTAAAGTATACTTTATAGGTTTCACAGAGTGTGAGTTTTAGTGTCATAGGACTTGACACATCAACGTTTAAAATGTAAAAAACTTTTGGAACATTTTAGGCAACAGTTTGATGTTGTTTTAATGTAAACAGGTGATAGTTCCGAAATGAAATAGGTTTAGTAATTTTCCACAAAACTAGAAAGAACACAATTTTTCTATATTTTTTTAATAGTCTTTTGTCGCTTTTTCATTTGTTAAATTCCCCCACGTTCCCCTTCATTTCACTCCCTTGAATGACCCAATTTTTCCTATTCAAGTTTTGTTACATCAATTTTCCTCTTTGTTTTTCCAGTCTGTGTTTTGTATAATTCATCAATATTGCTTCAATCTATTTGGATTTCTGTGTCTTTCCTTGATTGTTATTTCATTAGGTCTGTTTTTTGTGGGCGTTTTGTGTTTTTTGTGTTTGTTTAAGTTTGTTTGCTTTTGAGGGGCGTTTACTGGGGAGACTTTGGAGGCTAATTTGGTAGATAAAACAGTAGACTTAACCCTTAAATGAGAGATAATAATTTTTGTGGAATAATCTACAAATTCTTCTCATTTTAATGGTTATTTCTCTACTTAGAAAATAAAATAATATATTTTGGAGTTATTTTTTAGAGAGTAAATTGTTTTATTATGATATTTAAAACTATGTAAGTTTATAAAAAATTACTCACATTTTTTCTAGACTCTTTTTTTAGTTACTTAACCAATTGATTACTCTGCCGGTGAATATTCACCCAAAAGCACGTTTTACATTTGAAATGCATTGCGGTTTAGCAAAATTCTCATTTTCAAGCGTAAAACACGTATTCCACCATATGGCATTAATTGTTTTCTTTTATTCAGAGATTTGAGAGGCTTAGATAAGCTGAATAACACACCTAAGATGCTGTATACAATATATTTTTCACCACTTGACGCAACCTAAAACTAATTGAAAATCTGCCCAAAAACAGCTGTTCCTGATAGAAATCTCTAGAGCAGGTAGTTGAGAAAACAAAATCACCGCATCTGTTGCCGCTTGAGAAAAAGGATCTCTATGCACACTTTCCTCGGCGGGTTTTTCATAAGAATTTTCGAAGTTGTTCCATTGAAAAGGGAAATCGAATCGAATTCGAATTTCGCCCCTTTTTGCGCCATGTGTCTCTGGGGATTCCTTAATGAGCTTCTTGTATCTTGTATCTTGTATCTGATAGTTTGGTACGTGCGGTTTCATAATCCCCTAGAATTATTGCGACAAGAACTGTATAATTATGTGTTTGAGTTGGATGAATGAAATGGATTACATATGTGTGACAACAACAAATGACAAGTAATTGAGGGGGGACCTAGAATCCCCACTTTTCTCACTCTCTGTGTTCTCTCATCGGTTCAATTTTTCAATTGTTTTTCACTCGCACAAGTTCAAGTTTATTAGTCATAAAGTGGAATCGGGCAGCTGGTCAAGTCTCGGATAACATCTAATAAAAATAAAACCCAAACTCTGTTGCATGCTGTCAGAGCACACACACTCTGAGCTATAATTATACAATTCCAAATCGAGTTGAACATGTATATATATATGTTCCGTTTTTGGTGGGGGCGGGATCGGGTTTTTGATCTTTAGCATATGGCTAATGGTCTGGCCTTATGAACTGCACTGTCTCATTTTTTTATGCTGCCTATTGTTTGTTTGGCTTTAATGAATCGAAAGTGGCCTGAGAAATGGTTCAAGGCTGGTTTTGGGTCACTTGGTTAATGCAGATGTTTGGGGGTGATATGCATATATAGGATTGGATTAGATAAAAACATAATTGAGTGCATGGAATAAGTGATTTATTAATTGGATTTATGAAGACATTGAGAATGTACATATGGAAAATATTTACTTTATTGAATATGCTTTTATTTTGGGTTGTGACTTGTTTTTTAAGGAATATATTTGATTGTATATATAAAAAAATTAAATTTATAGATCAAAATTATGTAAAGTGAAGTTAGTTTTTTTCAAAGATGTAAATGATTTAAATAATATTCGTTCCTTAACTTATGGCAATAAATTCCTATTATAAAAAGCAATAAATTCCTTAGTTACCTATCCTTATTTCTTTATTTATTTCTGAATTATGTAAAGCTTTCTTTATTTATTTAAAATTTAAGCAAGGCTTACTCATTTCCATAAATATTTCCTTATTTTTTAGTTACACAATTGTGTAACTGCCTTTAAAATTTTTAGGAATAGTTATATGTTAGTTTATTACGTATCCCACAAAATAAACAATATAAAAAATGCAGCTGTCAGCACTAAAAACATTCCTATACAACTCCCTCTCAAAACTATTGCATGTCTGAAATCTCAGATCTTTGCTGTAAGCTCGAAAACCTAGTTAATCACGACACTCTGTAGACTCTTTCTGATGCTGCTTTTGTTTAGAAATTTTCACACAATTTTTTATTCATTTATTTGTATTTGAAATATATATATTTTTGTGTATTTTTTTGCTTTGCATATCGGATGGCAGCTATAATTGCCAAGAGGCTGAGAAAACAAAAGAAAACTGTGTTCATGGGAAATATATACGTCTTATAATCTCAGTGAGGAGTGGCGAAGATTCATGAGAAAACTCGGAAAAGCTAAAGCCACTTGAGCATCTGCAGTAATAACTGTAAACCGAGCGGGTTGGCTTCATTTTCTAACTGCATTTTCTTGATTCTTCTGAGAGCTTCTTGTAGATTTATTTTTCTTTGGGTTTTTTCTTTTTGTGACCAAACCAGATGGCAAAGAGATTGGCATTTGCATTAATTAACTGAAGGAAATTCAGGGAAAAAGAATAAGATAGAAGAATGATTTTAATATATAATTAAAATAATTATTATGTGTTGAAAAATGTAAGCACCATAAATACTAGTCTTGTAAATCTACCAAAATTATTACAACCCTCTAAAAGGTTACCTATATTAATAAGGGTTTATTCATATTTATAACCTGTCTCTTTATAGAAATTAGCCAAGTTAAAGTTACTCAAGTGTCATAGTTGTCAGCCATGTGAACCCATAAGAGGGGGTGGCACACAACACAACAAATTTTCACGCCCAACTCTTAAACTATTATGCAAAGCAACCCAAAAGCCAAAAGAAAACCATTGCATAAGGGGGAAAAAAACCAACAATTTTTTTGTGTGGTTTAGTCTCCTCAGCTTTTGTTTTTTTTATTGTGCTTCGTTTTTTGAGTAACTTTTATCGATTTTTTCAGTGCACAAGTGTTTGTTGTGTTTGGGGGTTCAACCCAAGGTTCATTGCTCTTTTTTGCTTTTGCATTCCCTCCCAAGTTTTTCCTTTTGCCTGTTTTATTTTTCTTTGATTTGATTTCATTTGATTGTCGGCTTGGGCGTATTTACTATTTTCCTTTGGCTTTCTTTTGAACTTCACTCTTCACTCATATCCATCGCCCATCGTTTAATTACATATTTATGCTCATTATTGCATATTATTCCAGTTGAAAACGTTTTACATCGAATTATGTGCCAGACACAATCGATATTTAATCACAAGCTTAGTGGTTAGTTCATTATGAAATTGATGGGTTGGTTGGAAGCAATATAGGATATATAATTTGGATTACTTAAAGAGATATTGAAAACCGGAGAGGAAAATTATTTTAATGATTTAATATTGAATATTTAAATATGTTATAATATTATATGTTAATATTATTACAGAATATTTATGTATTGATTATTTAATGAAGAAGTTTAATAAGATTCTTTTGAAAGAAGATTTAGGAATTTTATTAAAGCAAATAATATTTAATTTAATTTAGTTTTGTAAATTCTCCTAAGTTCGATATTTTATGTATATGCATATATGTATGTATTTTTAATTTCAGTCAGAAGCTCGTAGTTTTTAAAGGAGTCATTTCCGACCCTATAAATTATATATATTCTTGATCAGCACAAAAAGCCGAGTCGATCTAGCCATGTCCAAAGAAAAAAAATTTTTCACAATTTTTTTCATAATTTTTTTCGTTAAAAATTTGCTTTGTCAAAATGTTGAAATTTGAAAAAATTTAGATTTGCTTTAATTTTAAAACTCAGAATGCAGATTTGTTAAACCAATAAAAACTAGCACAGAACAGCTTTCCGAGTTGAAAATAATTCATTTTTCGCTTATTTATAGGATTTTTAAATATCAATTTGTCGGAAAAATTGTCATATAAATATATCGATAAATATTAACTAAAAAATGGTATCATAATATCAGTCTGAGCTAAAAAGACAGTGAAGGAGTCATTTCCGACCCTATAAATCATATATATTCTTGATCAGCACAAAAAACCGAGTCGATCTAGCCATGTTCGAAGGAAAAACATTTTTGACAATTTTTTTCATAATTTTTTCGTTTAAAATTTCCTTTGTCAAGATGTCGAAATTTGAAAAAATTTAGATTTCCTTTAATTTTAAAACTCGGAATGTAGATTTGTAAAACCAATAAAAACTAGCACAGAACAGCTTTCCGAGTTAAAATTAATTCATTTTTCGCTTATTTATAGGATTTTTAAATTTCAATTTGTCGGAAAAATTGTCATATAAATATATCGATAAATATCAACTAAAAAATGGTATCATAATATCTCTATAGATTGTATTTCTCTCTAATTTCGCTATACTGTTACCTAATTCCCAGAAAATACAAACTTTGACCCAATTCTCATATAGGCTTTACTCTAACGGCCCTGACATATCAATCAATCATGTCAATACTATACCCAATTGTACTTACAGTATTTATAGATTTTTCTACTCTACTTTTTCCAACTCCAACCATTTTCCCTCTAACACCACAAAAGATTTTGTGACAAAAAAAAATAACGAAACGAAAGCGTGAAATGCGACTAAAGAAACCCGAAAATGCTGGCCAGACAAACCGGCGAGCAATTAAAAAGAAAAATATATATATAAAAAGAGAAAGAAATATAGGTAATTACTCACGCTAAGATCGGGGAACTTCAATAAAAGTACTTAGGCCTCTTAGTCATGCCTCGAAGTTTTGGTTAATTGGAGGGGTAGGGAAAGTGACCATTTCAGGAAGGGAAGTACTATAATGTCCACAACAAACCTCGACCCAAATACGGTTCCAGGTTAGTTAATGACGTTTTGGGCTGATAATTTTCATTTTCCTTTGACAGGAAATGGAGAAAAGCACCTGTTGACGTAGATGATTCCTGTAGAGTTGCACAAGTATTTGCAGGAAACGTAGTGTAATTAAATGTACATATATTAAAACTAAGAGATTAAAGGAAATTCATTTGAGATAGTGTGTATTTTAAGGGGTATATTGTATTGATTGTCTTACAAGTTTCTGTATTATATAAACTTTGCTAAAGTAGTACTTGTATCAATCAATAAATTAGCAATTGATGGTCTCCTCTTTACTTTGCGCCTTTTGCTAAACTTTCAGTCATTGCATGCTTAAGTAAGTTTAGCACTTTGACCTATTGACCTGCATGTCAGTGTTTGCAGTGTGTTTGAAGTATATAACTAAAACCTTTAAATTTTTGAATCTTCCTTACAGTTTCTGTACAGTAAATCTTCCCTGAAATGGCCCCCATGCCACGTATTCAACTGCCCAATAGCAATGCCTCAATAAAAGCCAATACCAATAATTTTCTCTATGCCGAGACAATGTCTGGAGATAGTAGCCCCACGCCCAGTAGTCCACCCTCCAGTACAGGTGAGTATTTAATTTCTTAAATGTAATACAAGTACTAATTATATATTATGTGTGTGTCTTTTCTTTGAAAACCAAGCGGGCGTGGCCAAGTCCCAGTGTTCATCGCTCTCCGATGGCGAATCCTTTGAGGGCTATGGCGAAAATGAGTATCCCACCCAATTGCGTGAAGGACGAAGCTCCAATAACAATAGCAATAACAACAATAGCAACGTCATCAACAATAATAACAACAGTCTGAATGGTGGCAATACAAGTTCCCTGCACAATCACAGTGGACACTCGAATGATGGGAATAATAATTTAAATGGAAGCACAGGCATTGAACTCGATTTGGCACCCCATGTGGGGGCATCAACACCACAAGAGTGAGTCCTTTTTGGATGGTATATAGAGTGTGTACAAGGCATTTTGAGAGAGTTAGTGGAAAGGTTTTTCTTTTGATAGGAAGCTTTAAATAAATTGTATTAAAATTTACTTCTGAAATGAGATGTAAATTGAATTATATTCATATTTTTGTTTACTAGAAACCGTACTAACTTTGTTAAAGAGAAAACAAACCGATATGCACTCTTAATTATCTTTTTAAAATATGTTTTTGTATGAACTCTTGAAGGAATTTTCCTTATTTGATATGTATTAATTGGAACTAATGAAAACAATACAATTTAAATACCTTTCTTCTGATTTGATTGCAAAAGTACTGAATATTTATTATTATATCCGATCCAATCGTATTAACTATGTTAAATATCTTTCTATACGATGTTTTTATATAAATTCTTAAAGGTAAAAGCCTTATTTGATATATATATCAATTTAAACTCAAGAAAATACGATAGTAAATAACTCTTCCTGTAATTTTGTTGCAATAGTATTGAATATTTATTGTTATATCCTATCGAACCGTATTAACTTTGTTAAATATCTTTCTAACCTAAGTTTTTATATAAATTCTTAAAGGTATTAGCCCTATTTGATATACACTTTGATTTAAACTCAAGCAAATAAGATTCTATATAACTCCTACTCTAATTGTTCTAAAATGGTATTGAATATTTATTGTTATATCCAATCCAATCGCATTAACTTTGTTAAATATCTTTCTAAATGATGTTTTTATATAAATTCTTAAACAAATTAACCTTATTTGATATGTTTATCAATTTAAACTCAAGCAAATAAGATTCTATATAACTCCTCCTCTAATTTTCTTAAAAGAGTATTGAATATTTATTGTTATATCCAATCCAATCAACTCCATGCCATTGTTCCACTTAACTGACTCTCCTGAAATGCTTTGTATATAATGTACTATATATTCTCATTACTGTTGACTATTTTATTAACTCGTTTCCATTGTTGCAGTGATGACGAACTAAACATAATGCCCCGAGACAATTGGCCCGTCGCAGCTTGAGGCGAACTCCCACCAGGTAAAAATAAAAAAAATCATTACTTCCCAAAAAGGAAATCGATGCGAATGCGAATTACCATAGCTGTCAGGCAAATCGTAAGGTTATTTTGCACACGTAACACACCGTGTGGACATTAAGCTGACCAGGCCCAAAAACTTCATCAAAAAAACTCTCAATTTGTCTGTCTGTCCGTAAAAAAAACATCAACAACAACCAAATTTGAATAGTTAACCTTTTCTTTATGTAAGCCAATAATGGTTGTGTGTGTGTGTAAAAAATGCATACACAAACCCAGGCCAGAAACCAGTTTTTTCTATGCTCTGTAGAAGAAACGCTTTGAGCCGTGATTCATTCCTCATGCGTGATGGTGGAGTCTCGGTCTTCGGGGCTCGGAATCTCTCATACATCGCATTCAGTGATCCAAGCATGATCTCTTATGTCCCTCTCTCTTTCGCACTGTCATTGCCTGTCTCTTTCTCCGCTGATCCACCATCTGTTTCCGCCTTTGTTCAACACTCGGTGTGCGTGTGTGTGGTGAGTTTGGGAATTCACCTGATCGTAAGAGAGGGGAATCGCGAGTTAAGAGAGTGACTATGTGATCACTCTCTTAAAGTATACCGTGATGACACCTAGTTAAAGGTCTAAAGATCACGAGTCTGGACAGTCTTTAACTTATATTTATAAATTTATAAAAAATAATAGTATAATATATATTTTATAACGTTATATTCATTGGGGAAACTTTTAAAATTTGCATATTTCCTTTTAGATCTATTAATATTCTTACAAAAATAATACATATGCCGAAAACAATTAAATTAATTTTCTTTTGAGATGAATAGATTTGTTATTTCCGAATCTATTTAATTTGAAATTTGAGGGTATATTTTATTAAAAATATACTTGCTGATGAGTAGATCTCTTGTTTGCTATTTTCAAATTATTTATCAATTTTATTCATCAAATAATATGTTTATATTAAAAGAAAATTGAATTTAATGTATATTTTTCGAAATTAACTAAAATAAGTGTCACATTTTCTGAACGCATTAATTAAATTAAGATAATAATTATTTAAAGACAAATTCTTGCTTTATAAGATAAGCATTTACACTTCAAACCTTGAACCTATTTTACATTAAAAGATATATTTGCAAATTTGTAATTTTAACTTCAGTTTTTTTAAGGCATAATTTATATGTCATAAATATTGATTTAAATTTTTCTTACAGCAATCCTGATAGTTTATCCCAGCGTCGTTGGGGATCCATGAGACAGTAAGCCATCTCAAATATATATTTCCTTTTTGGGTTTTCATTTAAAACCTCATAAATATCCTAACATTCATATTTGATTCATTTTGGTTCTGGCTTAACGATTTGTATATAAACTTTATTTAAAATGCTGTAAATATGATGATTAATTAAAAAATTATGTTTAAGTTTAATAGAATACTTTGCAAATTGGTTTGTGACTAGGAAACTAAATTAGAGAATTATTTTCTAGTAATTTTTAGTATCTAAAAATCAATTTAAAACAATTTAAAGCCTTGCTTCCATTTTTGTTTTGCAACAATTAATAATTCTTTAATTAATTTAACTGAAATGTAGCAATCAAATTATAGCTCGGCTCTATTATTATCAATTATAATTGGCTTGTTACAGCTCACATATATATATATTTCTCATATATTTTCCTCATATATTTACCCAATTTTCCATTATTTGGTTTTCTCAATTGCTTATTTTCTTCTCTACCCAAACATGATATAGTTATCAGTTTTCTTGCCTTCTTTTCTCCCCCAATTTCAATTGTTGTACAACCGAATGTTCAATTGAGTCATTTTCAAGAGTAACCATATCCTTTCTTCTCCCCAAAAAGTTTATGTTTATTGCTGGCGTTGGCTGTCATAAAAGTTACAACCAACTAAAATTGCTCCCTTCTTTTGGGGCTTAATTGCAACTCTGAGCGTAACAAAGTCAAATAAATATATTAGATAAATGGTTCAAGATTTAGGATGAAACCCATGAGAATTTGAAGATTGGTATCTGCAAATGTGTGTATATATTTATATAACTTCCTTTTGCTAGTTGTACTTGTCAAACGAAGACCATGTTTCCTGTGGCTAAAAGTGGTTTGGCTGCTTTTTTTTTTGCTTTTAACTGATCCGAGTGAAAAGGTTGAAGGTAGAAGATGCGGGTCTTTGTCTGTCTCTCCCCCCCTCGATGCTTTTCTTACCATTCTTCTTGGCCAACTCCTTACCTCTTGACTCTGTTTTTTTTTTTTTTTTTGCCAACTCTCTGGGGCTGTCATGCCATCGGAATTTATATATATTGTATTTTTTTGCTCTCAGAGGAAGTGAAGTAAGTGAGAGGGTCCAGAAACAGGTTTAACTTGCGGCAATTGTTTACTCTTCAGAATTTAGGCCGGCAATTTTGTCAAGTCGAAAAATACAAAAAATCTTGACCCAAAACGAGGTCTAGGGATGTGAAAGAGATTTTTTGCGACAAGATTTGGGATTTATTTTTATTATTGATTGATGTTTTGATACAATATTTATCGTATTTTTTTAGTTATTGGTAAAATTTCTGTAAAATAATGAGGCTTAGAAGTATTCAAGAGATTTATTTATTATTTCTGATGCATTTCCAAAAGTTTCTATATAATTGTTGAGAATTTTTTTTTCGGGAACCCTATATTATTATTATATTTTTTATAAAATATGCTTTATTTAAAACTTCACTCTATATCGTGGGATTTGTTTTATTATTGATTGATGTTTTGATACAATATTTATCGTATTTTTTAAGTTATGGGTAAAGTTTGAGGCCCACAAGTTTTTATGCAATTTATTTATCATTTTTGAAACATTTCCAAATGTTTCTATATAATTGTAGATGGTTTTTTAATTTGAGAACTCTATATTATTATTATAAAATATATTTTCTATAAAATATGATTTATTTATTTTATTTTATATACTTTTTATTATTTTTCTTATCATTTTTTAATATCTAACCATTTCTGTGTTGTGACAACTCTTGAAACAATGTCTGAAATGTGCAAAGTTAATTACTTTTGCTCTGCATTCAAGGCGTGTGCAAATCAGTTAACCCCACGCAGTCCATAAACTGTGAGATACTCTGTCAGCTTTCCAGACCTTGGCTTTTCCCATAAGATACATATATATCTTTAGTTTTTCTTGTTAAAGCCACTGCAACTCTTTGGCGGAGTTGAATTTGTCATGCAAATGCCTTTGTTTTTTGCTCATCTGCTGGGAACACGTTTTTCCCTATCGCTGCACTTGGCATTCAACACAAAGCCGCCTCGCTGGGAAACTTAAAGAAGGGGGGAAAATGACCCCACCCCCCAAAGAACTGAGAACAATTAGTCGGGAAAATGGTGGGAAAAAACCTAGAGATTTGAATCTTTAAGTGAGGGAAATTTCGCTTTTATTTTGTTATTAAACCTAAAGAGAATCATAGTTTCTTAGAGTTATATAGTTTCGATTTAGGAATCCAAGCATTTCGTGTCTGTCTTTCATCTCAGTACTTCATTTTTAGAACCGTATAGGTTTTCCCTTCTTTTTAGTTAGTTCAAAAATATTCGAACTAAATTTTCTAGTCTAAATCGCAAATATGTGGAAGTATCGTCAGGCCATCGATGTGGATACTTCCATAAAGATATCACCGCTATGTCATCAATATCCTTCAGCCTGTTGGTTCTTACTCAAGGGTGTTAATATGTGGAATTTCGTGGCGGGAGATTTACATCCGATTTATCAGGTAGTTCTATCATTTTTCCTAATGGGAATCGGTGTAATGGGCGTTATTTCCTTGAGACGTAAATGGAAAGAAGTGAGTTGTAAACTAAAATATATAAAAGATATATATATTATGTATTATTTTCTATATGTCAAGCGTGATATGGTCATAATAACCATGCAAGAGAGCCTTGTTGAGGATGTCTTGCCAATACCCGAACCTCTACCCATCGAGCTGGAAGAACTGCCTTTAGTGACCAAAGTCTCCCTTCTACCCGAATCTAATACCACTATTGATCAAGATGATTTCCGACTTGAACCCGAGATCCCTCAACCAATTCCACAGACTATGACAAACCCGAATCAAAAGGAGGCTAAACCTCAGCAGATGAGAAAAACAAAGATTCCGGTTATAAATTCGAAAACATCCAGGGTTCCTGCTGGCATTATCAAAAAGGATCAACCTCAAACTTCTCAAAAGGTGGTTCCCCCAAAGCGTACACCTGCTCCTCCTAGGACCAGTGCCAAACCCGGTACCAGGCTAATGGGATCTATAAATCGTAATACAAGTCAAAATCAAGGTGGTCTAAGACCTGCCCGTCAATCTGATATTCGTAGTCGTTCTTCGACTAATCCAAACCCACCACTTTGGAAGTTGTAGATAATATAGGCATTTACTTGATTAGGGCAAAAAATCGAAATTTTTATTTGAATATTGAGACATATTTGTACAGAGCAGGATTTGTAAATGTTTTCACAGATAATGTTATGTGACCCTCTGTAGTAAATAAATGGGAACTTAAAACGCAGATTCCTTAAGGATCTTATATATATAAATATGTATACTTATAGATTTATCTATTTATATATTGTTTTGTACCCTTTTCTTTACAACCTTGACATGTCTCTTAACCTTCAAGGGTTTAAACCTTAATCGTTGCACTTCTCAACCTATTTCTGTCCAGGGTTATCTCGTATTTTCCCGTACATAATCACCGCGTCTAACTAGTGGAGGCCCTCAATTAGGCTTTTAAGGTGCCTAACCGGCTGCCTGCCTGTTAACTTGGCTCTTGCCAGTTGGCTTGCATTTTTTTACTTGGCTAATTGGCAGGCTCGTTGACAATTCCAATTCCTCGTTCTTTCAGTATTTTGGCAGCCGTAAAAACTTTAGAAAATCTCTGTTAGACACCAATTTGGCTTCGGTTGAGGTAGTTACCATCTAATAAGTACTAGAAATGTTCATTGTTTGCCAGATTTGAGTTAGTTTTTTGCTGTCATTTTGTTTTGTAGTTTTTAGTTTTTAGTTTTTAGTTATTAGTTCTGTTGGCCAACATGTTGGCAGCAAACAAGTTGCATGGAAAAGCGGTTGAGGCTGGAGATGAGTTGCCAGAGTTTTCTTGAGTGGGAAATGATAGTGTTGAGCGAAAATGTGTAAATGGAAATATTTAAAATTAAAGATTTAAATATTAGCTGTAGTAAAAGTTGGGAAAATAAATAAGAAGTAGCTTTAATAAAAATTTAAACATTTAAATTCATACTAGAACTGTGACAGATTTCGCTCTGCATTAAAAGTATATTGCCCTAAAGTTAAACCTTAAAACTAAAGTAATTTGAATGTTTTAAATATGATAAATTTCTAAATTTATTTGATTTTTAATTCAATTTATTTTAATAGTTATTTAAAAGTATATTTACAATAGTGTCTTTAGAGGTACCATAAAATTATCTCGAAATTTTAAATGATTATAAATATTGCATTAGATTGAGAGCTAAATATTTACAGATATATTTAAAAAATATATATATATAAAATTAACAATTAAAGATTTTTATATCTGTAATAAATATTGTAATACAAATTCAATTGAATTAAGATAGTTATCTGCCAATATATTTACGATACAGCTACAATAATTATTTACAGTATCAGTTGGGAATTGAAAAGGAATGTAAATGTTGATCTAATCTTTGAGGATAAATTACACAGTTTTATTTAAAAAATACATAAAAATCTTATGAATTTTTAAATGTATATTTTTCTATATAATTTTCCTTTAGCTTAATATAAATTTTAAACTAAAAAGTAAAACTTACAATAGTTTTTTGGCTCTCTCCCACAAACACTCAATGTTCGCGCTCTCTCTCTCTCTTGGCCAGCTTCTGTTTTGTTTATTATTTGGCCCATTGGCTCTCCCTATTTCTATCTCTCTCTTCGGTTGGCTCTCTTTCTCTCTCTAGCTCTCTCTCTCTTTCTTTTGGTTCGAACCTGTTTGTTGGCCGCCTTTAGATTGGCAGACGCGGAATGTGGTTTTTTTGAATTTTAGTTCAAACTTTACTGCAAACGCGTCCGGTTGTTGTCGTTCCTTGTACCGAAATTTTGGCTATTTGATTATTTATGAATCAACCAAAGAGTCTGTGAACTGTCTGTGTTCCGGTGGAAATAACAAATATATATATATACAAATATATACAAAATAATACAAAAATTCCGCCGCATCCATTGAGAAAACAAAAGTATGTGAAAGTGCCAGAGTTTGTGTGTTTTTGTTTCTATTTTTTCGAATTATAGGAAACCGCAGACAACGCGTCGTATGTGAAACATTTGTGCAAATAGATTTAATTGTGATTTTTTGTGTGTAGTTTTCGCTTCTCTTTTATTTTGGCCATAAATTTCGCTTTCCACGGAATAGAAAACCATTTTTAATTTGAGCTCTAGCGCGTTTTTATGAGATTTCGTACATAGTTTACACTTTGGTTGTAATTTATGGCGTCACGCCTTAATGACGTCCACAGCAACAACTACAACAATGTACAGAGATCGAAATGGGCAAAAAAAAAAACATAATAATACTACTGAAAGGCAGTCTTTGGAATTATAGTGCACATTCCCATGCAAAATCGGGGACTTTCCTACAGCTTCCAGCTCCTCTTCGTCTTCATTTCCATCTTCATCTTCGACATGTGTGTCTCGTCTTTTGCACGTGACTTTTCTCTGGTTTTCCACGGTGCCCACGCCCTTTTGTTTGAGAGCTGCAGTTTTCCCACAAGCATTTGGCCAGAAATATAGCCATATTTATGCCAAGACACAGGTGTAATTGAGGGGAAACTCAAATTGAAAGGATAGTACCTGTCTAAAATAGATAATTGGCTTTAAAGATTTTTTTCAAATATTTTTAGAGTCTTTTTTAAACATTATTTATTATTAAAACATGTACATGTCTTTAAAGATTTATTTCAAACATTTGTTGAGCCTATTTGAAGTTTATTTGTTATCAAAACAGATACTTTGCTTTAAACATAATGTAAACAATTTTCTACTTTTCCTAAATTTTATTTTGTATAGAAATTATTATAAAAAGATATCATCTTTACTTAAAAAAGTGCACTGATATATTTAAGGTAAATTTAAAATGTAGAGATGGCAGAGAATTTTAAAAGGGCACCAATACTTTTATTAAAACGTAAAACAAATATTTTCAAGTAGGTTTTTTTTAATTTTTCAAAGTTTTCGATGGTAAAACTCTTTAAAAAAGAAAAAATTAGTTTTAGCTAATATTAGACAGCAAATATATCATCTATAAAGCACAGTCATATGTATAATATTCTACTTAAGGTAAATTTATAGAAGTTTTACTTTAATAAATTTCAGAATAAATTAAATATCAAGTTCAACAATTTTCTAACAAATACAAAGTGTAGTTACATATTTATTGGAATAATATTTGACTTGTTATTTAATTAATTGTGAAATTTATAAGAATAAAAACTCTATAAATTGACTTTATATATTTTATATTCTTGAATGAAGCCCAAGAAAAGTTATTATAATCGTAATATCCAAATAATATAGTATCTTAAATATTACAAAAGTTACTTGGTTTCTTTTCATATAATTGTATATTATTTATATATTATTTCATATATTATATAATTATTTGGAATATTAGTATTGAAAAGCCAATTAATAGGCAATTGAATATTAAATATTTTTATTATAGTTCAAAAAATCATCTCAAACAACCAAATATCTCCCATAATAGCTTTCTCAAAATTCTTTAAAAGCCAGTTAATAAATCCTGACCATCATTACACCATTATTTCAACACCTTTTTCAGACCAATCAAGTGGAGCTCTTGGTTGAAAGAGTAATCAACTTTTTACCTATAAAATGCACTCGCATTGAACAATTTCCACACTGATCTCGACCCTTTTTTTTTCGTTTTTTTCTTGCTGCCTTGCATTGTGCCCATCAATCAAAATCGAATCAGTTTTTTATATAGCCTTAATTACGCAGAGAGCAGCCGTATAAATGTTGGCCGCAGGGGACTGAGCATTTTCATTGTTAGTTAGTCGGTCGTTTGGTCGAGAGAGTGTGCACTTTTCTTGGTTTTTCTTATTATTCGATTCGATTTCGATTTCGCTTTTCCGAAGACGAAGGAAGAGCATTTAACGACGTTATCAGAGCGATATTCCAGCCGCGTGATCATACAATATTAGCCATCCGCTCATCATTATCATCATCATTTTCATTGTTCATCATCATCTTCATTCGTTGCAATTGCAATTGTGGTTTAATATTTTTTTTGGTGTGTGTTCGGCTTGAGGAGATTTGTAATGAAAAGTGAAGTGTTGTCGGCAATTGCGAAAGTGTGTCTAATTTGCCGGGTGCGTTTTCTCGAGACGAAAATTTCCTTTTTTTATAAACAGACTTATAAATCAAGCTTAAATTTAACAAAGAAAAAAAAAATGAAGTTAATGGTTGTAACATAATTGGATTGAGAGTGTGAATAAGCAATTGTTAATATGGATGGATTTAAAAAGCAATAAAGTGTTGATGATTTATGACAAAATGGATATTTATCTGCAGAGATTAACAATAAAATAATATAAAACTAAAAGTTTACAACCAAAAATATTTAAAATACTAAAAGAAGTAGTGTTGAAATGCTTTAAAAACTGTTCAAAATGCGACTAGATCAATTACGCAATTCTTCGTTCAATTTAACAAATCTACAACAAGAAAATACCAGAATTTTAACAATTAAAATATTTAAAAATTCTACTTAATTTTTAAAACCTTAAATAACCAAGAAATTCCTTTTTTCAAGCAATTAAATCTTATCAAAAACTCAACAACAACACAGTGAAATCTTATCGGTTTAAGCCAACAAAAATATAAACACAATGACGTCCATGATGCGGCCAATGGCATCTGTAAAAGATAACCAAATTAGCTAACTAAACAATAAATAACTAACTAAAAGATAAAATCAAGAATAACAAACAATTAAGCAGAAAAAAAATAATAAAAGAATTCACCTAAATGGATGATGAATATTTTGAATATTTTCCCTATGACCGTCGTCGCAGTCATTTGAGAGAAATGTGCGTATTAAATTCTACCCAAAAAATTCACAAAGTTGTTGTTTCAATGTTGATGTTTGCTTGCACTTGTCATTCATATTTATAACTAATTCTTAAGAAAGCTATAAAGACACGCCCCCTAAGCAAAGAAGTACGAAAAAAGCCAAAACGCCCACATGTCCATAAATACTTTCACTTGTCCCTCAAAAAAAGAAAAACACAAAAGACGTCAATTTCTTTTGTTTACTTCTTTGTTGCAATGACTCAGGGCATTGTTTCGTTGGAAATTGCAACAATCGCGACATTTCTTTGACCCCTTGTAATTTTGTTAAATATTTTCTAAAGAAAACAAAGTTAAGCAAAGCGAAATGTTTGTTGGAAGTGTAAGAAAGTTTCGGGAAAGTGGGAAAAATGTAACGGAAGTGGGATTAAATTAGTCAGAGTT